ATATATTAAAGTTATAAATAATATATTTAAATACCTTAAAATTTTTCATATAAAATAATATTTTATACTTTCTTTTTATATATATTATTTCCTATATTATAATAGATTTTATATTTCTTACTTAACTTTTTTATTTTTAAATTTTATTATAAAAAAGTTTTACTAAAAAAAAGCTTATATAAGCATATTATATATTAAAATAAAGCTAAAAATCACGTGATTTTCAATCTTTAAAAATTAACCTTAAAATGTGGATATTAAGCGAGATATTAAGCTTTTAATCTCTTATTTTAAAAAAAGTAAATCTTAATTTTTTAGCTAAGATTTAACCTATTATAACTCGCTTAATTTATAAGCTATACGTATAAGAACTAATCCATTATGAAGAGCTAAATTAGCTCTATTTAAGTATAATATTTATAACCTTATAAGTCTTATGATGAACGTTATATTTATAATTAACGTTATATTTATAATTAAAATTTCCCTTTATAATTACACATTACACTATAAATGTAATTATAGTGTAGTTAAACTATACTAAAACTATAAAAACTACACTACACTAAAAACTACACTAAAAAACTACATGTAGTGTAGTTTTTTTGTTAATGCTCTGTATAGCATAATATAGTGATTTTTTAGAAAATTATGTAATCTAGTTCTTCTATCTTATTAAAAGCTAAAAGAATTCACTTTTTATATAAGCTAATTAGTTATAATTTTAGCTAATTTATGTATTTATTATTATAATTTAAGTAATTATTATAATTATTTACTTATAATTAAGAGCTTACCCTTATCTAGGTACGCGTACGTAATTGGTACCCGTAACGGGTGACTCATTTTGATAATATTCCAGTGCCGTGACCCCGCTGTGTAGTTTCTCAAGTGCCTTCAAGCGCGGGCAAGTTTAATCACGGATACACTTTCTCAGCCAGCACTTAGCTTTTTTGATCATGGAGGAAGCTAAGCTGCTACCGAAAGACACCGAGGCTCCTGCATCTGTCGCGCGTGAGCAGAATGTTACCCCTTGGAGCGTGAAGGGCGAGGTCGGAGAAGACGGCGAAGTGAAGGCGATCAACTACAATAAGCTTGTCGAACAGTTTGGAACCAAAATCATCGACGATGCCTTGCTTGCGAGGTTCGAGCGAGTCACTGGGCACCAGCTTCATCGCTTTCTCCGACGACGTATCGTTTTTTCGCATCGCGACCTCGAGTTAATCCTAGACAAACATGAAAAGAAGGAGCCCTTCTTCATCTACACTGGCCGCGGCCCCAGCAGTGACATTATGCACATTGGACACATGGTCCCTTTCCAGTTGGCCAAGTGGCTATCGGATGTGTTTGAAGTGCCCCTCATCGTGATGCTAACGGATGGTAAGTATGAAAGCGTCCCTCTGCGCCCCGCTTGTGAAATCTTTGCGCTTACGCATTGCTTAATGGCGCAGATGAAAAGTACCTCATGGGCAAGATGGATCGGACGGTGGAAGAATACGAACACTATGCGCGAGAGAATGCCAAGGATATTATCGCAGTTGGCTTCGATCCCGACAGGACCTTCATATTCTCCGACTATGAATTCATGGGCGGCGACTTTTACAAGAATATTAGCCGTATAGCCAAGGTCTGTTCTGGTCTGGAATCGACGCCACCGTCTGCCGTGCTGATCGAGTATAGAGAATCAACAGAGGGACAGCAGACTCCTGCTTCGGCTTCAACTCCAGCACAAGCATTGGGAAGGTAGGTGCCTCGGTTTCTTCTATTCATCTACACTACAGTACCAGCTTGCCTGTGAATGCTAACATAAGCCCAGGTCCACTTTGCTGCTGTACAAGCAGCGTCATCGTTTGCAACCTCATTTCCATTCCTTTTCGGCGCCAACAGGCTCCAGGCGGCTAAGATCCCGTGCCTCATACCCTGTGCAGTCGACCAAGATCCGTACTTCCGCCTCACCAGGGATGTCGCTAGTCAGCTAGGATACACTAAGCCGTCACTCATACATGCGAAATTTCTCGACGCCCTGCAAGGGCCTGGTTCCAAGATGTCTGCCTCCGTTGAGGCAAGCTCCATACTTCTGCGAGATAGCCCTAAGCAAATATTGAAGAAGATCACAAAGTATGCCTTCAGCGGTGGCCAGGAAACACTTGAGGATCACCGAGCCAAGGGAGGTGATCCAGAAGTCGACGTCAGCTACCAATACCTGAGATTCTTTTTAGAGGTTTGTGCATGCTCTGACTGTCAGTAAAGGTTGGCAGTTGTACTGTCCTATAATAGGACGACGAAGAGCTGGAACACATTCGTCATGAATACCAATCCGGGAGTATGACAACTGGTGAGATCAAAAAAAAGTACCGCCTACCCTCCCTCCTCTCTTTTTTTCCTGCATATCATGTGTGGAAAGGGTTCAATAGCTATAGATGTCAAGAGATAAATTGTGCTGACTTTTATATAGATGCGCGGACGAGTTGGCCAAGTTTTGTGTCTCCTTCCAGCAGCGACGTTCTCAAGTGACAGATGAGATGCTCGATTACTTTATGACCTCCCGGCAACTCTTGTACAGAGGTGTGAAATTTGATACGGTGCTGCCCATGCTGGACGATGAGTCGGCAAAGTCTAGAGATCAGGAAAATGGCAAGGGTTCCGAGTCGAAGAATCAGGCGAAGAAGAATGAGAAGATACGGCTTGCTGAAGAAAAGAAGAGGCAAAAAACTAGGGAAAGGAGCAGTGCCAATACTAGAATCAGTTCGAATTCTTAGATATCCTACGCTACCTGCTAAGCTATTGAGTATACGAAAACACGAAGACTTTCAGCTCAGTCCTCCAAGAGAGGGCAATTGGTGCAGCGTCCATGGCTACACGATGGACAGGTTTTCACATTATATGCTCCCCCATTGCATCTGCACTTATCCCATATCGATGAATCAGTATCGGAGTCAACCAGGGTAATGACGGATGGTGTTCTATCACTTACACATTTCGAGTCCCAAGTAACCCACCCGTTCACGTAGACCTACCAATCCGTATTAGTGAAAAGGATATTACAGGCATAGCCATGCGCGTCTCTACTTGCCTGGGATGAATATATTGCGCCCATGTCGATGTTATGGACCAAGACTGCTTTGAATGATCAAGGTGTGCGATTATTTGGCCACGAGCAGTGAGTTACTGTAGTTATAGAACGTTTGACTCTACTTGTGTGCCCTATGAGACATCCACCTGGCATCGGAAGGAACTGCGAACAAGACAAGTCTGGAGGTCTTACTCTGGGACGCAGAGGTCCAGCCCCCACAATCAACTAGCACTTGAGGCTTTTGGGGGATTACACCGCAAGCTCACACAATGGTGATCAGGGCCATGTCACCGATAGTGGTAAACTGCTCCGCAACGCCAAGGCGCAGCCTCGTGGGCTGGCCCAAAGCTAGGCGTAAACGGGGCTACGTCGACCCGGATGACAGACGGCCGAGACCGCAATCGATGGCATGGAATTGGGCTGGGGATGAATCTGCTTATACACCGACGGAAGCGGCATCAACGGTCACTTCGGAGGCGGCTGCGGTCGCACCAACCCTCCAGATGGAGTGCATCTGCGCGAAATGAACTCAGTGCATGGGCACATCCAACACTTCTGCCGTGTACGCAGCGAAATTGAGGGGACTAGTATCGGCATTGCAATTAATTACCTTTCAACATACAAGCAATTGGTAGCCCTCCCCTCAGTCATGACGCTGATCATAACACTCGTGACTTTTGTAGCACTCGTTCGTCAATTTTCGTAGTAATCCTGATTTGTTTACTTTCTCTCATTCTAAAGATCAGGGCGTGGAACACGTATTAAGTTTACGATAAGAGGCGTTTAGATAGCATACTGTTTCCTTTATTTCTTTATACCTAGTCCTCGGTAACAAATATTTGCGCCTTTTTAAAGTGTCCTTTGGCCTACCTCTTACCATTCTCACCGTGTCCCATAGTATATACCTTCATCTAGAAATAACTTTTAAAATCGGCTTGTATAAGATTCTTATCCTCCACTACACGACTTTCTAGGTGTTTCTTGATTGAGCCGAAGAAGTACTCGATTGGGTTTAAATCCGGTGAATACGGCGATTGAGCTTCTAATAACACACTAGCTTGCGCATACATATCTTTAATCCTCACTAAAAGATCATGCTATAATGCGTTGTCCATGTGGACAATAGATTTTGGCCCTGGATATCTACCGTAATAGGGAAGAAGCCTCTCAAGGAAGGCTTTAAATACATTATTATTTGTATATTCTTCATAGACCCTAAAGTAGATAATTCCATCTAAGGTGTACGCTGGTAAGCATAATACTCGTTTTCCTTGATGGAATCGTTTGGTCTGCACTAGTCGTACACCTTTTGGAGCATATCCTCTTTTCGGTATCGCCCTACCTCGGTCGTCGCCGGTTTCATCGACACACACCATGCATTTTGGATCAATATGGGACCGTTTCTCTGTGTAAAAAATTCGCAACTCTTGGTAACGCTCTTTCGCCACAGTGTCCATGACCTTCTTTGTCCATACTTGCCGCTGTATACCTCGGCCGATCGTAGCTCTGGTGTCACACGGATTAGGTCAAGCAAGGATTAGAAGCCCCTTTTTACACAAGGAGATCTCTGGAACTATGAGGCACACTAGGCACGGGCCGTTCCTTTTTTGTATATAAGATGGTCTCCCCTCGCCTTCTGGCTTGGTGGGACCAAGGACCTTTGACATCCTACAAGATTATCATTGAATCGAGCCCTTTTGCTTCAAGCCCTCTAACGAGTCCTTGTCACATCTGGAGACACGTGCGCCATACTGCTTGAACAGAAAGTCCGCTAGGGCTTATTAACTTAAACCTGGACACTGTTCCAGTTCATACCGTATGGTAAGCCGCATGTTCTCCGTGATCTCCTTTGGTCAACCATGCGTTTTTGCAGGTGCATCAATCGTGCCATATTAAAGTATGTTTGAGCGAGCGTTTCGCACAGATCGTGCTGTGGAGTCCATCTATTAAGAGCTATATGTATGAGCGTTGTATGTATATAATTAGCTTGATTTAATTAGGGACTTTATAACCTATACCTCTTAGTGTATTTTACACATAAAAAAATAATAACGTGTTATTTTTAAATTTAAAGTTCTCTTAAGCTTATAATTATTATACTTTAAAGAGTATTAATTATAATAATAATATATATATATAAGTTTATATTTAATTATAAAAGAGAGAATTATATACGCTCTTTTTTATAAGTATACTTATTATTAAAGTTACTTACTTATAGTTAAGGGTTTACCCTTATTTAATTATGCGTACGTAATTTATACCCGTAACAAGTGACCCATTCTGACAGTGTTGCACGTTCGATCTCTCAGCACTAAGGCCTCCCAAGGGCTTCTCTTTGCTCGATCTAACGACCTCCTATTAAATTGTCGGAGTCCTTTGTTTCACCACAACACGAGGTGGGGAGATTCTGCCATGCGAGTTGCCCAACTTGTGCTAAATGGCGACCTGACATACGGTCAAGAGGAGCCGAAAAAGTATGCACATCTTCTTGCATGGGTGGACAGTCTGCCCAAGACATCATCAAACATAGGCCTTCAAGCACGAGCCTTATTAGTTAAACTGGTCATCACCTACTACGAGTCGGGGAACTATGCGGGTGGCATAAGGGCCTGCGAGGCCTTCCTCCCCTCCGTCAAGCAAGCGCAGGAGACTGGCCAAACAACCATTGACGAGCTGACCAAGGCGGAAATGAATCATCCAATCCACCATTGCCGAGCTGTTGGTCACAGAAGTCGGTTCTGACTCGGAAGTGTTTGCCCAGAGCAAGGCTGTCTTGCAATCTTGGTCTCCCCTGAATTCAAACGCACCCAGTCGCAAAGAAAAGTTTACCCTTGGGGCACAAGTCCGCATACTCGGCAAGGTTCTCAAAGATGACGGCGAGTGGGCTGAGCACAAGACCTCACATACCCTCGTGGAGCAAAGCAGTCCAGCTGAAGCAGAAGCCATTCTCCGCGAGTACCTGCAGACCCGTCAGGTGCACCAAACGCCGGAAGTGAGGGCGCGCGATCGTCGCAGCGTCATAATGTATCTGGAGATGCTACTCGGCGAAAGCCTCCTCCTATAAAGCAAGTATGACGAAAGCGAGGCGCTGATGCAGCTGCTGCTGGAGCACTTCTTCGGCTTTAACGAAGACATGTGGCATTTTAAAAAGTTCCGCGGGGCATTTTTCATGATGATCCTGGCGCGGGTTCACCACCTTTAGGGCGACTTTTACCCAGCCATCATGTACTGGAACCAAATGATTGATTACTGTGAGAGCAAGATGGATGTGCATAAGCAGAGGGGCAAGTACGATCGCAACTCGTTCATGCCGTTGATTACAGAGCTTAGTCTTTCCGATTGTCATTTTGAGGGGGGAAACTGGATATGGGTATGCCGCGACGCCATCATTCCATGGGACGATGGGAGGTCGCCAATGGACAGTCGTGAATCCTGGGTCTAGGGACCTATTGGATTGAGCTCTTGAAGGCCAAGGCGAAGAAAAGAGACTCGTAGCTTGATGTAAGATGCCTTTGTGCAGAATATTTTTTAGCCTACAATGTTCCGATTTCGGAATCTGGAGGAAGCTGGGCGTGGGCGTTCTTGGCTGTCTGGTTGTTTTTCTCTTGTCACGCTCATTGCAGGACGTATCTAGAAAGGTTTTTTTTTTTTTTTTTTTTTTTTTTTTTAAAAAGACGG